ATCCTGTGACGACCAATGTGACTTGGTATTGATCGCGGCACCAAATGTGACGTTCTAACCCTTGGCTGATTCGGATGGGAATCTGGTTAGATTCGATATCAGCTTTGTCGTTCCCAGATCGCCTCCAACGTCTGGTTACCGAAGTAACTGCTTTGATTTCTAGTATAACCTACCCACGTTGTGATTTGATCTTAGTTAGACAAAATCAATCAGTCGCCGGGCCGTAATGCAAGCCGAATTCGAGCAAAGATGACATCGCACAAGTATATGTAAAAGAAAATAAAGTAACAACTCAAAAAGTTCAAATGTGTTAAAAAAAGAATAACAAATAATTTTATATCTGGTTGTTGAATACAGGACTGCATCTTTCTCCAAAACCGCTTCTATGGATTCGTGACACTTTGTGTTTGTTCGGCGAGTCTTAATATCTTAAGTTGTTTTTCGATAACTGTTTTTTTGTATCTTCAGGTGATGTCCGTAAAACTTGTTTTGGTGGTGTGAGTCTAAGTCGTTCTTCAAAAATAAATTGTTCTTGGTTAGAAGTCGAAGTCGGAATGCGTGGATCTTTAATCAGCTTCCTGCGAGGCTGATCTCACAGCTCACAGCTCAACTCTGTCTGCGTCTGCGTCTCCCCGGAGCTCTATCGAACTCTTTAACTCCAACTGCCGTCTACTCGCTGCGAATCTGTTTATATGGACGCCGACCAAAACCGGGTGTGGCCTGACGTGGTTTGGGTTTCTCGATAATTCTAAATCCACAATAAGGATTTTCTTTGTTCTCGGACAGGAAAATTTATCACTTTCCATTTTTGGAAGTCCATTACTTTCTACTTTCTGCTTTAGATGGGTTCTTAAGGGAATCGTCCTCTCAAATTCTTCCTTTCTCATATTGCTATCTCACACCAATCCCCTCAGAGGGCGTCAACTGGTTTCCCTTCTTTCTCATAGTGGTATCTCACACCAATCCCCTCAGAGGCGTCAACAGGCCTCCCCTCCTTCTCATATGTTTACCTTCACCCACCGCTCACACCTCCACTCAGCCAATGACGCTCGGCAGCGCGGGTGTTTACAATTATCGCTCAAAGGAAAAAAAATATCTTCCTTTTTTCTTTTTCTTTCTTTTCCTACACCAGACCCCTACGACTCGTAGTGTGGTCCTTAATCTCTATCTTAAGCGAATGTCTGGAATTTATCAACGAGATTTTCGCCAGCGTCAAATGGGTGGTCAACTGAACGTCTTCGCACACTGTCGCCAATTATCTGTCCCGGTAACAAACTTTTATCATGTCCAGGTCTGGACAATAAAACAGGTGGTCTCTTTCCAAAAACAAATGTTATCTCCGAAAGATAGTTAATGGTTTATTCTTTCCCTTTCTCTCTGGGGTGGCCTCAGCTGATGCCTTTCTCGATCAGTGCGTGACCTGATTACGATTATCTTCCAGCTTCTGTTTCGTAGGCCACTTGACCAATTTGAAATTTTCATTATTGCCATGGGCAGATTGCTATCTTTTATTCGCCACGTCGTAGCATGAAGTAATTCCGACAGATCCGAGATCTTACGAATTTCCTATCTTCTGCGAAAAATAAAATACTTTTCTTTGCAAACGAAAATAAAATCTTTACCACTTTTCTTTGTTAAAAAAATAACATCGCTCAGTATGTCTTTCGTGATAGCTTCTCACCTTAATTATTTCTCGCTTTTAATTTTCACGCAACCGTGATTAGTGCCACAAATTTTACAATCTAAAAATATATATTCTGGTTTTAAATAATCTGTAAAGGATTGATAAACCGTAGAAAACGTATCAATAAATAAATATTTTATTGCCTATGAATCACTATGACATCTTGGGAAAGATATTTGAGTAGATTCTCATTGCCTTCTTTTTCGTTTGTACATGATGACTAACGCTTTGTTTTTAACTGACTGACACACAAATCTAGAGAGCACAGTATACATTGGTGTTTAGCCCATATCCCAGGGAAGAAGAAATGGATTCATGCCTTTCTGATAGGAGTGTGTGAGAAAGTGAATATAGCCGACTAGGTAAAGACTTGAACTCGATCCATTGATTTCACTTTGCACGTCGATAACCGTTACGGTACACGTATCCATGCTCTTGCGCATCATAAAATAGTGTCCCTGTGATCTGCTCAATGTTCTTTCATATATAATAAGCCTCTCCATTCGACTGTATCGACCAATGCAGTCAACTGTTGCATTGATATAACCCATTCTTCCGTATCTCTCACCGCCTTCATTCATTCGAAATCTATTCATGGATGTTCTAGCAAGGTGACCTGCTGTAGTCTGGGTCGGAAAGTTTTAAGAAGTCTTTCAGGCAAGGTCACAGATAACTATTATGAAAAAATTTTGTGGGATTCATAATTTATATTGTTTTAATTGTTATTCTTTTTTAATTACCATCGCCATAAAAAAATTCATGAATACTTGTTGATTAGTTGTTTGTTTATTTTCGTTTATCAACCTCTATGAGTTACTTAATGCTGAAATTTAAATAATTTGTACGCAATTTTATTTTATTTTTCGAATTAATAAGAGTTTAGGGATACAGGACTCACTACTTAGCCCATAGATGTGGAAGAAGAGGTGCATTCAAGGTTTTTTGCGTCTAAGTGAATATAACGAACCGAACATTAATTAGATTTCTGATAGCCAATCCCGAGCTGTTAACTATATCATCCACATATCCTGGCTTGCAGCATTTGATATTCCTAAGTTGTCACCATTCTAGCCATTGACTTATAGCGAAGTTGCTTAACTTTGTTGATCGTAGGTGAAGCGGTATTTCAAAAGTGATACGGCCGTATATTATGAACATATTAATTAATCCTATAATCACCGAGCGGACCCTGACTTTTTTGTCTATCCATGATGAACTGGTATTCTTTCAGGGTGCTCCTGTACCTTGCGACTCTTGGGATTTAAGCATTGCTCGCCTCAGATCTCAAGTAGAACTCGGACATACAGCCATCGGTAAAGTAACAGGAAAAAAATGGTCGACTTCCTTTATCGCTCTAGTCAGTACTTGACTCCTTCTACCATCAAGCTTAACAACAGCCAAATCAAGCATGGAACAGAATACTGTTGACATATATGGGAAGAAGCCACCCAGTTTTAACTTTCTAGATTCAATAGAGACCAAAAGCATCACGTACATTGTAGCAATCCATCATCTTTACCTTTGCATTGCATTAGTGAGGTATAAGTTCCACTCGAATAACTTCCTCCATGAAACGTTACATTCTGATATCAATGCCCAAGAGGATGTTTCCTTGATCACTACAATCATAGCCTATTCAACTCTATAGTTAACAGATATTTTCCACACATATCCTTATAAACTGTGCCTCTTACTGCTTAAGCTGTAACACTCTACCTCAAGTGGCTCTTAAGACTTTTAAATGGTGAAAATTATTATAAAAGCAATAGAGAAGACATAGTCTTTGGATCTCTTCATGATATATTAGCAATGGATTAACAGTCTGTAAAACCGAAAAATACTTTCGATACACTATATATTAAGATGTAATCCTGCTAAATAAACAAGCGTTAATATTGACCAACGACTGTAAACACCTATTAAAAATATACTACGTTTTCTGTTACCACATACTTTTATCATTAGTATTATATATATATATATATATATATATATATATATATATATATATATATTATATATATTTGAATTTGCAGGTGTGATGAATTGGATCGTGATTACGATTCCGATGTAATAAATTATAACCATGGAATATTAGTGTTTGAGCCTTTTCTATTATATTCTTACTCTGTCCTGGATATTGAGTTCTACCTGGATTCTATCCACTCAGGAAGTATATATATATATATATATATATATATATATATATATATATATATATATATATATAACAACGGCATGGCCTGGCGTTACCCGTGCCTGATTCAAAATCGTACGAAACATACAGCAATCGCTATTACTTAACTTAAAATATTTTTGTCCTTCCTTGCCTTTAAAGGAGTGCCCTTTGCCGTGCTGATGTTGCTACATGCCTTACTTCTTGCCTATCTCACACTGCGAATTTTTTCGAAGCTCTATACTAAACATTAAATCAGTCACGAAAAATAGAACTAAACAAAATGAACACAAAACGATCAGCTTTAAAAAGGACTCGTAACTGGAAAAACCGAATGGAAAAAGAATGTTAACAACCCAACCCAGTTCTCCGGAATCAGAATCAACACACATCCTGCTTTATATATATATATATATATATATATATTATATAATATCTATATCTATATATCTCTCTATCTATCTATCTATCTATCTATCTATCTATCTATATCTATATATATATATATATATATATGAATAATGATCAGATTTCTGGAGTTTGTATGCGTACAAATTACATATTTGATCAGAGAACCAGAAAATGGCTTGGGGTATTAATATTTTAATATTTAATCAAGTTACATCAAGAGTGAATGAGAAGAGGAATAATCGAAATTCAATAGCCTGGCCATTTTCTCTTCATAGATAATCGGTACTGCACAGCAACTTCAACCATTCGCCCACGTTCTTTTCTATAATAATAATAATTTGATTTTATATGAAAAAAATATATAACTTTAATATAAAACTCTAATATAAAACTCTAATATAAAACTTTGTATATATATATATATATATATATATATATATATATATATCAAATATAAAAAAAAATGTCGCACAATTTGAAAATGTTTTGAATACGAGCATGCGTCTATGTGTACAAATAGTCCTTGGCCCACCGACGAAGGTGTGTAATCATTTAGTAAAATTTTCTAAAATTGTTCAAAGTTCTTTTTAGCCCCACGCGTATGTGTGTCTACTATCGAAAATATAATTCTATGATTGTAATTAAATATGTAAATAATATAAATAATTATAAATGCTTTGAACGTACGTATGTCTGTTCAATCGAGTATTCTTTCACAGGGTAACCGGTTTACGGCCATGACAAGTTGAAACACCGGTTCCTGTAAGATCACCGATGTTAAGCAACGTGGAGACTAGTCAATTCCTAGATGGGTGACGTCTTGGGAATACCAAGTGTTGTAAAACAGGATATGTGATTGATATGCGCCTCGGAATTGGCAATCAGAATTCGTGTTGGGTTCGTTTCCATGCAAATGCATTTTGCAAAGACACTAATCCACGTTTTGTCACCTACAGATATAGGTTAATTACTAGGAACTTTATCTATAAATCATTATTATCTCAAAAAAAATCTTAAAGTCTCTCTCTCTCTCTCTTTCCATATATATATATATATATATATATATATATATATATATATATATATATATATATATATATATATATATATATATATATATATATTTTCGTTTTAAATAAGAAAAGGTTGATAAGATGTAAAGAAAGAAAGCAATCAACGAATCATAATATAGGAAACATGGTAATTTCATTCTTCGAATATCATTCAGAAAGTAAATTTTTCTTACCTATTTAAGAGTTATGTCCCCTTCAAATTACTTCCCTTCTGAATATATGAGTTTCGTGAGATGGTGTTGTGTTTACTGGAAACTTTCTTGGCTTTCTTCAGCTTTCCTTCAAGTAGTCACACATTTCTGGATATCAAGGACATTTCCCCCTACAGTATTGATTTGTCTTTTGGTAAAAGACCAAAATCACATAGGGCTAATGTCTCACTTTTATGAATGATTTCTTACCCTATAACTCGCGTAATTGTAACTCATCACTCGAGGCAGCATTTACGCTTTAATGAGTCCAGTACTCAAGCCAGATTTATGTTTTTTTTTCCTTAAAAAGATCCATGTTCAAACTGAGATTACCTACTTTCGCGCTATCATCATATCTTTATCTGCTATTTGTATATTTGACTCTACGTTTCTAGCATCATCTTCCGCTCTACTTAGATTCGCCTTTGCTATACAAATATTTTTATTTCTTCATTGTATGTTCACTAGAATATTTTTCTCATGAGGCTTAATGTTTCATTAGGAATTTTATCAATATTCACAATATCACTTATATTAATTCACTGCTCCGGAAATATTTTTGCATTTTCCACAAGGCACCAGGTACAACAAGAACAGGTAAAACTTCCTCTACTGCTCGGTAACAAATGACACATTCAGTCTACGTCTAAAGAAAGCGGAAGTTAAAACATGTCGGGATAGGCTCATGTATAAAGTGTTAATTACAGTATTCGAAATTGCCACATCTCGGATATCGTATTATCAGTTCTATTCAGCTACAACATTTTTTTAAATCTTTTAAAAGTGCACACAAATGAGCGTGTGTTTTAATGGATAGCAGCTCGGAATGAGAAGTCGGATGTCTGAGTTCGAATTCCAGTTGATTTTTTTGCGTGGACTTAAGTGCAATAAAAGTAGGAAATTATATCCTCTCCCCAGTTATGGATTAAATAGTAGGACTTGCATGTGGAAATAGGATTGTTATTCACAAAAAAATGTTATTCATTCCCCCAAATAAGAATATTCTTACAATACAATATATGTTTTTAAATAAAACATTAAGGGCTGATAATTCGTGAAAAACACATCCATGAATCACCCAATCATGAAGCATGACACTCTCAGTTTGGCGCAGATCCGACGGCACATCGGGACGGCGAAAGTGTCTTTCCAGAAGCAGTGGCGTAGCTAGAGTAAACGTCACCGGGGGCAGTCCACTCAAATGTCACCCCAATGACCCCGATTCACCCTATGCTGAATGGTTAGCTGTAGCTAAATTTTCATACATGCTCTACCTCTACTTTACTCTACTGACCGGTACGTTACTGTTTACATGTATGATCCAAGACAAAATCCAATACCACAAAATAATCAGTTCAAATCAAAAGCTGAAAACATTGCTATTTTTCCTACTCGCAAATTTCCCGACAATTTATTAGAAAATCTCTGACGGGGGGGGGGCATAAATTATTTCTCGGGGGTCATATGACAGCCTGCGAAACCCTGTGTCTCCACCACTGTTTTCAGACTATTTTTGGCACCTTAGTCTGGTTGAAAAATTTTGTTGGTGGTGACATTGTGTCCCCCTCTCCTGTGCTGGCACCCGGGGCGGCCCGCACACCTCGCCCCGCCCTTAGCTACGCCACTGTCCAGAATTAAGCAATTTATTAAGACAGAGATGTCCTCGTGCATTCCATTGAGTGCTGAACGATATTCATAACGATAAAGAAGACATCTGAAGCCGCAGTGACGTTGTTCTCGTGACAAACGCGAAGAAACCACGAAGAGAGAAATTTCTTAAAAAAAAAACAAAAAAAACTGAGATCATTAAAGAAATTGATACTTGAAATTGATTGAAATTACAGCGACACATTAAGAGGAAGGACGGCTTAGAAAATTCAATACTCACTGGGTATAGTGAGTAGAGGAAGATAAGAAGGACGCCAACAAAACTAGTTTGTATGAATTAATGGCAGAACGAAGAAAATGAAAGAATGAAAAAAGAGTCATACCGTTTCTTAGAGCGACAAGGTAGAAGATGTAGCGGCGAAGGATGATAACACGCATTCTGTAGTGAAAGGTGTACAAATACTAATAATGTTATAATTACGTGTTCATGAGTTTGTATGTATCTTGGTTGCTTCTGCTTCTTGAGATGCAAAAAAATCGGTGCTGAATATTGAATAATATTGAAAATAGGGCCGAAATTATACAATTTCCAGTTCGCCTTACATGTTATAGCCCGAGCCATTACTTTGATTTATTTATTTTTGCAAACAACGCGACATCTTCTACACTCTACTGACGAATGAAGATTTTATTGTACCTGATCAGCTCTATCTATTATCTGATACTGCCTAAGTAGAGTTGATACGAAAATTAAATAAATTATGAATGACTGCTTTTGCACACCTAGGGGAAAAATCGCTGGTCAATAAAGCATGACAACAACTATAAAAACAATACCACGAATAATACTACTAATAAAATAAATCAAAAAAGACAATAAGCCGGGCAAATATCTCCCTGCTCAGTTCTGCTCTGTTAGGCGCTGGTGACTCGACTCAAACCAAAATCAATGTGGCTAGCTTCAGTTCGAAAGAACACTGACTTCGTCGAACCTATGTTATTAAAAGAAACGTTGACCTTGCTTCCATTTAGTTCACAGGGACATCAAATCTTCTTAACATTAGCTTTTACTTTGCGTTTTATTTCACCGTTTATATTTTCACTGCTTATCAGATATTTTATCACTTTTTCTCAATTTTTCCTCACATATATTTTTTATATATATATATATATATATATATATATATATATATATATATATATATAACTGTGGACTCTCCCGTCGTATTAGACGTATTAGGGTCCAACAACTCAGTTCCTAATAACCGACCATCACATATGATTTGATTATGCTGTTGAAGAACCAACCAAAACTTTTTGAAAGCCCGACGTGCCTCAAGGTCCCCAAGCAAACCTACGCAGTGAAAAGTGTGTGTATATAAATATAAATATATATATATATATATGTGTTATATGCTACATGTATTATTATTCATATATTATATGTCCGGTACTTATTAGAAAGTGCTCAATATCAGAGATAGAGTTAACATAATTGGTTGGATTGATGTGGTGTTTGTGACCCTGTTATGTAGTAAGTAAATACATAGCGAGGTGTGCGGTATGTATATACAATGCCTATGCTAATTCATTGATATCAGCACTAAGCTAAAATTGTTGGCACCTATTATTCACACTAAAAGCGTTACTCCATTACTTGGCGAAAATATATATCTACCAAAGGCGAATTTTCTAGGAAAACACATCGTATCCTAATCAATACCTGTGCTGCTCAACCCTTCAGTCAATTCACTTTACAGCATGCATTATATTCCACGGGGATTTACTGTTGTCGACCAGGAACAGGCCGGTAGCTGACACTCTGTAATCGAATATTGCGCCTAACCTTGACTTGAGGACATCGCGATTGAACTGTGAAAGAGTGTCGCCATGTCGTATGTTGTGTAACGTGTCCAGATCTTACAACCACTGTCAGCAGATAGTTGCATAATAAAGTATATGACTCCCCACCTCCACAGGCACATAGATTCTATCATGACGACATGCAGCAACATGAAATGGCATTGATTACACACCGAAAGACTACCGGAGAGTTGTGGGACTATTTCGTCTCGATATCTGTACAGTGCTCCCTGATATTAGACAAGGACAATGGGTATTTATCCATCTTTTATAGATGTTTCATTAAATAGGAATGACAAGCTAATGTTATTAACATTTTTATTCATTTGTTCTTGTAAACTTACAATTGTTTTTTTTTCTGAACATAATTGCGTAAAAACTGTTCAAATATTCCAAATAACAGAGTGCTTTCGACTATTCGATTAGACATCGCCAAGGATGATACTTTTCTTAATATTTAACAGAGTAAGTACATTTTTATACATGTACTAGAAGCATGGCCCGGCGTTTCCCCTTGCTTGATTCAAAAATCGTACGACGCATACAGCAATCGCTATCACTTGACTTAAAATATTTTTGCCTATTCTTACCTTTAAAGGAGTGCCCTTTGCCGTGCTGATGTTGCTACATGCCTTATTCTTGCCTATCTCACACTGCGAATTTTATCTAAGTTCTATACTAAACATTAAATCCGTTACGAAAAAAGAACTAAACAAAATGAACACAAAACGATCAGCTTTAAAAAAGGACTCGTAACTGGAAAAACCGAATGAAAAAATAATGTTAACAACAAATACTTCTTCACACCCAACCCAGTTCTGCGGAATCAGAATCAACGTTGAGTTTAAGCAAGCGAATGAGCCAATTGGAGTAAAGTGACATGCAGATTTAAATTTTCCCCACTTGTGACGAATGCAGCTATCGATTTTTTTTCTTTTTTGCTTGTTAACATTCGTGTCAGTCAGCTGTTGGCGCTCACGCTGGCCAATAGAATCTTCCTGCCTATTCGTGGCATCCAGCTATAGGCTCTCACTCTGGCCAGTAGAAAATGGCCGCAAACTACATGAAAACTGCCGTAGAAGCATGAAAAATCGATTATTTCCACT